GTAAAGCTGGGGTGGGGATGACATCATGTAGGGAAATACATTAACCCTAACGCTCCTCAGTCCTCCAACAGGTGAAGGATTGACGGGTGTTAGGGTTAAATTATAAAAATAGAAACAAACAGGCGTGCAAGATCCAGTGTACATTTCTCAGTGAGAAGTTGAGGTAAAAAGTTAATAAAAATGAATTGAGTGACAATTGACAGAAAAACAGGGACCACTGTAAATGGAGAATTTTGGACTGACAGTTTTTCAATGACATTACCTCTTCAACGTTGATGTTCTCTTTTGCACTTGTCTCAAACAACTGAATTCCCATTTGTTCAGCAAAATTGGTTGCATCTTCTGTCAAGACCACTTTCTTCTCTGGACAGTCGTTTTTGTTTCCAACTGCAATGAAGCAATATGACTTTATTTGTAACACGTAAGATCACCTTAATAACAATAGAACATTATTAACAATATGAGAGAATCATGAGATATCACACTTCCTGTACCTGGGTTTGTAAGGGATAATTTTTGGGACTTTAAATTGATGCCATGCTCACAAATCCCCCTTCAAAATCAATGGACCTGTGTAGATGTCCCCTGGATATGCAGCAATACATTGTATATACATTATACAGGGTTCCAGCTGGCATCTTCAACAGTAAGAGCTGTAGCCAAATGTTTGATTTATTAGCCATTCTACAAATTTATGAGCCTCCATTATGTATTTTGGCAGCCATATTTTTTGAAAATAAAGATAAACAAAAGACAAGTCATTCATTCTGATTCATTTCAATTTGTGTGAACTGCTTTTCAAATGGATCAATTATTACAAACAGACTAACATTAAATAAAAACCACATACTGCACATCTCATATATTTCCAACGTTTGTTGGAATACATCTCATATTTCACACGGTTTGCTGGAAGTTATTTCCAAGGTAAGTACATGTGAAGAATACATACACATATGAATGATTCAGATACATGTACCAAGAATTCTTCTAGGATTTTCATCAGACCACAGTTTGAATGCCCGATGGAAATCAAACACACTTCTTGGAGGACCTTCAGCAGCAACCCTCATCAAGGCATCCAGTGAGTCAGGTTTGAGGTTGCACCATTTTATATAACGCAAGCACAAAAATTATGCAGAGACCAAGCGTACGTTCAAGGCCTATGAAGTAAAATGCAAACTTGTACATGTGGAGCCCATGCATACCATGTTCACGGGCTTACACTGAACCGGACTTGGGCTGCGGTGAATTTTTTTAGCCATGCCATAAATTTGCTTACCCGAATCGGATAAGCATTTGCCCAAGATTTCCATGATTCGAAGAAGAATCCACGATTATTATGGTTATTTAACTTAGGCCTTTCTGCGTGCATGCAGTTTTTATTTGGCCACAAAAATAGTTGTGCTTCTGATTATACAATCGGTCGGTAGGTTGGAATTTGGGGGGAGGGGGCAAGTTTTTTGTGCTGATTGAATGGCATGAATAGGGACGACAGCCTCCCAAATTATCTCCAAAAATGATGAACCCCTGTCTTTATCTACGTAAAAATTTCTACAGTCGACAATTCACCAGAATTATGGACAATTTGCACAATGCTACTCAGGCAATTACGCAGCAAATGGCCAACAATGTCGGTGTAACGCATAGTAAGCATGCATGATGCATCCAGACCAGCGGGCGATAAACCTTGTGCCACGGCAGGAAATTTGTTGAAACATGCTTGCTTCAAGTACAAGTAAAACAACCTCATGACGATTAAACTCATGATCACAGAAAATAAAATAAGAGACCAAGTTCTGTGAATTAACTTGCAGAAAACCTCTTGCATGATGAATGTTTTTTGGACCAGCAGCATTAAGGGTGGCATGCAATATGCGTGTATGGCTGATGTATCAACCGGAATGTACAGTACAGTATGGTTGCTACATTTCCATCACCCATTCTTTGGCATGGGCACTGCGTGGCAGGAACCAGAGCAGCTTTGTTTAATGCATTGAGCTTTGCGCACATGTTTTGACCACTGCGACAGCAAACATGAATGGGAACTGTTGGTGAAAGTTGGAAATTAATACCACTATGACATTTTGGTGAGGTTTGTCTAAATTTGCAAATATTCGCTAATTTTTCTCGCCAGGTCAGTGGAATAACAGCCAAAGTTATAATTATTTGCCAATTGGCAAGAATGGCGACATTACAGTAAAATTACTGCACAATTAGCCCACTTAAAACACAAGTAATCTATACAAAAAGGGCAGTCGTTGAAGAAACAGAGTTTCACTGTCCCCCGCAACCCATCTCACACTAGAACTTCAGTAGTACCAGTGCTGCTGAGCAACCTCGTATCCAAGGTCACACCCAATACAAAAGACACTTTCTTCTGTAGGAGAGATCAAAGTAATGTCCCCTATGGGGTACATCAAAACATGTACCACGGCGAAAATCTGTCCCATGATCTTGCAATCTGCTATATGTGTGTTTGTGACACATCACGTGATTGATTTGTGACCACCAAAATATCGCAATTATTACTATGGTGTAACAAAAGCAGTTACACATGTACATACATGTATGTAAACAAATATTGATTTCATGCCAGTGGTACATGTACAAAGCAAAAGTACATGTAAGGTAGTTGGGTAAAATAAATGTGGGGAAATGTTAGCGAAACAAGCAGGTGCTGAGTGTCAAAAGACTGACTCTTATCTTGGTACTTGAAATATACGGATAAAAAATATTTCATGGCCTCCTCATAATACGTGCTAGTACAGTACATGTACATGTAAGCAAGTAATGGAAGTGCAGGCCAGGAACCCTTCCGACATCACGCATTATGTGAACTTGTCCGGCAATATGTCTCTTCTTGGTTGATTAACATTTGTATGATTACAGTACGCTTTTAAGTTCACATATCAAGGGGAATGAGTTGGAAGATGTGCATGTCAAATTTGAAAAAGGAAGACAGATTAAGTTTACATAGGTCACATTCAAAACTACATGTAACACGTACATTGCAAATCATGTAAAGTCACCTCAAAATGGAATAACTTCTTCAATGAGTAATGTGATGCACTTTGTACAAACGATCTCAAACATGCAGTGTACAGGCATGTGCATGTATAGTACATGAGGGTATACAGAATAGGCAATTTTATTGATATTTTATCCTTTTACACTGCAGGGTCTGTGATACAGACGGAAAAAGGTTTTCTTCATAAAATTTCTCATAACAAATAACTAAACGTCTACGATAAGTACATTTTTAGGTAAATGACTCCTTGCAAGTCATGACTTACCTAATATTCTGCTTACAACATCACAATTCTGTTCGATTTCATGCAGCCATCTTTTAACATTGACAAAGGAATCTGCACTGGTTACATCATATACTACTATAACACCATGAGTACCACGATAGTATCTGTTGACAAAATTAAAATAGAAACAACACAATGTTAACACAATAAATCAATACTTCAGAATACATGTATGGGACAATCTCAACAAATATTCATTAAACCCTTCAGCTCTTGTCAGTCATTTACAATGAACATTCCTGATTTCTTGCTGCCAACATACACACCATGTAAACCTTGCTGAGCACCGTACTCGTACATGTACTTCATGTTGACGGTAGCAATTTACATAGCCCATGGTGAAAATTGTTACAATACAGAAGCAGAGGCAATGTTGTAAAACAACTGGTATATGGCACTCGCTTAATAATCCCTACCGCACCAGCAAGTACATCATTTAATGTGCGGCACAGACTAATAGACTAATCTGGGAGATGCCACAACCATGGTGGCACAGCACTCACATGCATGTTCTTCAGCTTGATATGCACATGCATTTGTCAAACCAGATGCATGTACACCCCATCCATGAGCATTGTGCCACAAAGATGGCTTGTAATTCTGGGTGTTGTATTACACCACCGTGTACAACACCAAAATGGAGAAGACTCCTCTGAATTGGATGTTTCCAACAGGGTAATCTTACTTTGAAGGATTAAAGACCAGCTCCAACGATGCTAATTTTTCTTATATTGAATCCTACTCAGAAGAGCAAAATCTAATAGAAGTGGCACATATCAATATCTCCCATGCAATACATGTTTTTGTATTAATAAAAACAAAGATTTTGTACCCATTTTCCCTGCAAGTCCAGTCCAGTATTGCAAAAATGGATGTGTTGTCACGACTCATTAGCATCTAATGAATATTGATTTCTGTGATATGTTACCGTGGAGAGGAAATGTACATGCACTCTAGGCATACATAGCACGCATAGCCGCGGACGACAGCAACAACTTGAAAAATGCTCTCATTCTTCGGAAACTCAAAGAGCTTCAATCCTGGTTCTTTCACAGAATTTTTAGTACATTCGCCAATGACACACGATTTGGGCATTATTGTAAATCATTAAGAAAGGAGCAAAGGAGCACGAACTCTTGTCGGAAAAGAGATAATGCCGAACAGTAGACCTGGCACACAGATTGATCACCGGTATGCGGTGCATGCACTTGTAGCTCCATGTTCATGTACATGTACATTCCTAGCGGAACCAGTCATGCCACGGATACCAGTTTCAATGTTTCTCCGGTATTACATCGTACAAATTTCATTTCTCAACAGCGCCGCCAGTGCTCAGCTTGTCGAAATTTTTCGCCACGATTTTGCACCACAATTTCAAGTCTTCAAATCAGTGGTGCTTACTGATGTAACCTAATGTAACCTAAAGTATCAATGGAATGCAATTAGCTACAGCTTTAAAATGATACCCTTCTGTTTGCTGGTGAACATATAGTTTGGCCATACTCAATATTACCCTTTTTGAAACATCCTGTACAGACTAGTGTTCTCCATTTTGATACTGTACACACTGTAATGTAATTCGACACCCAGAATTAGAAGCTATTGGCCTGTACAGCATCCAAACTATTGACCTGTACAGCAACTATCAAACAGGCATGTACAGTACCTACGGTATGACACTGGCCTGTACAGCATCCAAACTGTTGACCTGCACAGCAACTATAACATAGGCATTTAGAGTACCTATAATATTGGCCTGTACAGCATCCAAACTGTTGACGCATGTGCAACACTGGCCTGCGCTGCAACTACATGTACATAATGTACCTGTATCGTACCAGTTGCCATTGGTCTATGCACTGCATCCAAAGTATTTGCCTGTACAGTACCTATAGCACTGGCCTGTACAGCATTAGCATTGGTCTGCACAACAACTACTGTACATGTATGACAGTGGTCTACATGTACATATACAGTATGTATACCACCTACATGAGTAGCTTTGGCCTACAAAGTAAATATAAAACTCATGAACAGGGTTAAGTTTGTGAACCGATCACTGGTCTCATTGATACCCAGGTACCTCACATGGCTGACAGTAAGCAATGATGAAGCTATCCTCTGAGACAAAACAAAAGAGAGGGGGGGTCCCTCTACGAAGTGTCGAAGTCTCATCCACGCTTTTGTGTAATTTCAGATGAATAAATGACATATGGCATGTTCAGACTAACGTTGATGTGATTGTCCGGAACCTCTCCTGCCCTGCTGTGTCCCATATCTGTAGTTTGACCCTCTCTCCATTTAGGTCAATTGTCCGGATTTTGAAGTCTACTCCAATTGTTGTGATATACGTTCCTGGTTTTAAAGAAGGAGAAGAAAAATCATGAATATTAAATGAGACTGGAAATTTCATAAATGTTTCACACTCAATAACACACACATAACTGTGGACGAACAGAACACAAAATTGCAAATACTGGTATGCACTAGTAAATGCATCTTCTCATTTAGGCTTATTGAGTTGGCACAAATCCCACCGATTGAGATCTTGACTATCGAACCGAATGCCAACAAGAGACAACATGGCAATGACAATCCTTCGGCAGGAACTCACTGCAGGTGTGCGTAGTTTGGCATGAGATGTTCTGAGCACCCATGACCAAGTTTTGCTTTGTATGTACGTGCTTCCCATGTGCACAGAGCAGCCTGGGAGGAGAACTTCCCACCAGCCTGTCTCATTTCTGCTGGTGAGAATGCACTTCAACGCTGGTACATGTACATGTACATAGGACCCTATGGATTCTGTGCATGAGTATATAGTGTTCTCAGTTTCAGACTTGCTTCCTTCTTCTGAAGTCTCAACGACGGCAGTATGTCAAACCAGTCACCACTTATACTTCTGTACACAATGACCTCTATGTAGATATAAATACATGTAAATGAGTGACAGTGAAAAGCCAATGCAGTCCATCTGTATGGGATTAGTAATGGCAGTCATCAACTTGAGGTACATGTACACTGTATATGCACCGGTTCACAAAACATCATGCTTTTATTTTGTCACCTTCACAGGTTTAAGCACTGTTTTTTCCGTTCTTATTGGTATAACGTGTGTACATTTTCTGACATAAATGTACTTGAGTACTTTTACGTGCACAGATACACATGTCCATGTATTTCACAAGCCAGAATTAAGAATGAAACAGTCCACTCATCACAGTGGGTCCACTCATCATAACGGTTGAATACTGTAACCAACTGACCACTTCCTTGACAACACCTCAGGAAATGATACATGCTTGCTTTATGTACTAGTGCATGTACACTGCACATAAACACGTACAATACAAGGTAAAAGTGAAATACATGTACATTAACTCTGAATGATCTGGTATGGTAATTTCAAGTCATTGTCATTGGCACTTGATGTTGCAAGTACATACATACATGTAGCAGTGTATTTTCCGTGAGGTGTTTTAAATAATGGCTTACATAGAGTAAACCACGATCTGATAGGAATATAAAACTTGGAATGGAAAATTACATGACTCACTAATTACGGCTGTATTTTCATTCTGCACAAGTGTGGAATCCAAACGTATCATGACTGTTAAACATGAAAATCTGTGCTAACAATTATTAGTTTGTGTCAGTTGAATAAAACAGTAGTTCTGGTTCACAGCTACCAACAGTAACACTTGTAGCCTTCTAAATAGAGTGCCAGTGAATGTATAGGTTGTCCATATGCCATTTGACTTCCAAGCTTCCTGTCAAATGGGAGTTCCCAACTGTTAAATTGACACAAATGCAATGTACATGTACTCACAGGGAAACTGGCAAAATGCCATCTGTGATGAGAAAAACCAAATACTTTGTACATGTACATGCATGTATAGTAAAAGAACACCCAGTCAAACCTGACGCTTCACTGTGTCCTAAAATCTGTCAGAAGCAAGGTTAACTTTGAGACTACATGTACATGTATGTCTGTTAGTGTGTGCAATGCATGCCCATATGCAAACTAAAAGAAAGACAAAAGAGCTACATGTACCGTGGATCTCGCACCTGGGTTGCATAGCTATTATGTGTCCAAATCAGTGTTGCATTTGAGTCCACCAATCACAAGTCCCAATGGCCAGTCATAAGTAACAGGGTGAACAATGACAAAAGAATGCATTTGTCATAGCTCATTTCAATAGTTTGTTAATTGACTTAAGACAGAATGACTTGTGATGGACTTACAGGGACTTGTGATGGACTTACAGGGACTAGTGATGGACTCAAATACAGCACTGGAACAAATACATGTAGAACATGGAGGGCAAACATATGTACTAGTGCCATAGCCACACTGTCAAACCACACCAACAACAACCCCAAAAATGGCACTTTTGAACCAATCCTAACTAAACAAGCTGGTTTGTTTGGATATTGGAAATACATGCATACTGTATGATTGTGTGTGTAACACATACAATTGTCATACTTCTCTTCAATACTAGGCACTGAAAGGTTCATAGAGGGGGGATATGCTGTTTAAAATGTGCAAAACCTGGAAAGATGACCAATCAGTTGAAAAAAAATTATATCATATTCACCTTCTACAAAAAAAGTTGTTGACGTATTAATTTAAAACAGTAATTAAAAAAAAAATTGGATTAAATGACTGATTTAAATCAAGGTGATTTAAATTGGCCAAACCTGGTAATACTTTTATAACAGTGTGCAGTAGAATCCAGCAATGATCATCTGTAAACATGCAGTGTGCTGCATTACAGTGTGCATGACTGTTCAACCTTCTCGCTGCATTTCAATTGTGCTTATTCAAAGAAACATGCATGCCAACTGTCCAGTTGCTATCCCCTAATTTTTTGTGATGTTTAATGTTTTATGTAACAGAAAGCTGTTCATTCCAAAAACCAGTAGGTGATCCACTGATAATATTCAGATAACTCAATATTATGCAGACTCCATAAAGACTAATGAAAGCCATGTTTTCCTGAAGATGTTCTGAATAAAGAACGAAATATTGAATCAAACATGGCTTTCATTAGTCTTTATGGAGTCTGCATAATATTGAGTAAGCTGTTCATGTTGAGGAAATTAAAAAACTGCGACCCAACTCATGCTGAGCTTGTTATTGTATACAAAGGATATACATGTATTACAACGGTTTTAGAATACGCAGCTCCCTTGTGGCACCCTGGAATTACACGTACTCAAGCTGGTAACCAAGAATCAATCCAGAAAAGGGTGTGTTGCATCATCCTTGACCGACTGTACACTTGTTATGACCAGGCCTTAAATGCCCTTGGACTTGAAACACCCAATTATGTCAATACCAGAAGAATTGATCTGTGTACCAATGTCGCTCTAAATGCTTTTAACTCTGATAGATTTAGCGCGTGGTTTAATAAATCTCAAAGTATCCACAGGATGCATCTCAGATCAAGTAGACTCCTTCAAGAATTCCACTGCAAAACTAAGCGCCTCAGCAACATTCCGCTCCCTTACTTCACAAAACTCATAAATTCATCTTTTTAACACCCGTTATCTGTCTCCTATGTATTGTCTAGTAATCCGTTATTTTTCAACAAACATGTAATTTTGCTATGTAAATCACACTATACAACCACCGGTTTGTGTTTTTTATACATATATATTCTTTGTTTTAAATGTCTTTAACAATTTTATGTAAATTGAAATTTATAATTATCTGTGTATATTGTTCATTTTACTTTACCTGTGTAGTTCTGTTGTAAAACTGCTAAGCAATTCAGCCTTTGGGCTGCTATTGGCAGTTTGAATTAAATAAACCAGCAATAATCATAATAACTAATGATAGTATCAAATGACAGTGCACAACACATGTACTGTAACTTGATTAGATGTTTATGATCATCAGTCAACATGGAGGCAAGTCTGGATAATGCTGAATTTGCTAGCTTGTGCGGCTGTACCTTAAGCCTCTTGGGCAACCAGAACACATGTTCCTTTGCAGTTAACATTCACTGGGTCAGAGTCATAGTGTTTCTTTGCCTTAGTGGAATAAGCCATTTGCACATTAAACTTAAATAAAATCTGGTGCACTGAGTTATCTGACTGCACATAAACATAACGACTTGAATTCCCCCGACTAAAGACATTGTTTCTATACCTTGTGATTCAGGGCAAGGTTTCACACAGTGATCACCATCTCTGGAATGGACTGGTTCCTTAGTGCCCTTCTTATCCATTGAGAACAGTGTATTGTTGCAAGGTGTTTTTATGTAACTAAGCAAAAGCTTGCCCCGAATCACAAGGTATATACATGTAGCAACAGTGGTTTTAGTAAGGAGAATTCAAGTTGTTATGTTCACATGAATTTAAAGAACTCAGTGTACCAGATTTGGGTCAAGGTTAACTCGCAAAAAGCTTCTTTCACCAGGGCCCAATTTCACAGCACTGCTTACCGCAAGCCAGAAACTGTGCTTACTGCAGCAGAAAAATTCTGTGCTCACGGCAAACGTAATTCACGGGTTAGCAAGGAATTTTGGCTTGCGCGCATGTGTACAGTACATCCCGAAACTAAGGATTCTGCTCTTAAAGGGTTAGTGCAGAATTCTTCTGCTAGCATGGTTAGCACAGAATGGAGATCATAAGAGTGGAATTCTACGGTAAGCAGTGCCATAACATTGGGCCCTGATATCTATGCTTTTTACAAATCACAGTTTATCAACAGGTATGAAGACTGATGGACAGTTCATCCAATAAACATGTGGTAATGAATGATCACAGCTTGGTAGTGGAATCTATTTTGTGAAAAAATAACAAACCTGACACAATTCACCTGAAATCTAATTTGACCACATATTCTGAGACTGTGCTGGCTGAAATTTTTTTTTAAACATGTATCCTTCAATGACTTTGTTCAAGCATGGTCCAAACATAGAGTTTTGGTCCATGAAAAGTAGCCAAAATCAGACGTCCAACAGAAACTTTCCATGGAAAGTTGCAAATGTACTTTGGGGAACCTCTCAGAAAAATGTGTTGAAATTGTAGGTGTTCATGGATAGGAGAGAGCAGTACATGTAGATGCATAAATTGTATTTACATAGAGGGAAGTACTACACAGTGGGCTTGTAATGAGCCTACTGATGTTTCAGTGTGCATTATGTTAGTCTGAACCAAACCCATGTTCAGCAAAACATTTCTGAACTGTGTCCAAACTGACCCTTAACTGGACTTTGGAACTTACTTACAGTGCTTAATTATATGAGGGCTTGTGCTCAATATGAGCTGTAATTAGCTCAGTACTGGAAAATGACAAATACCGTAGTTCAGGGGCAAGAGGGGACAAAGTGAGGACTACAGTAGTTTGTCAACCTCCTGTACTAAGGGAATATAATGTTGGCCTTCTTACCCCTATCACCCCCCCCCAAAAAAAACATGTTTATATTTGTGTTACCATGCTTCATATGGTATCATCTAACAGAAGAAAACGCTTTTATTATCATCCTGTCAGGATGTGCGCATGCG